CTTTCTCACACACCCACTCACACTGAGACCACTCACCACCCTGTTTTCCACACTACCACCTATCATCCTGCACTTGGCACATATCCTCTTAGCGAGAGCTGAGGAGGGGCTCTGGGGATTTCCACCACTGGAGTGAGCCCTCAGTCCTCACCTGGGAGTGGAGGAGAGACGGGTATAGGCAGCCGCTCCCTTCTCTTCCCTTTTTCCCTCCCCCACCCCCAGTCCGTGCTAAAGCTACTGCATTGCAGGCACCGCCCGACACCTCGTGAGCAACTGGGTTGGACTGGGGGCCTGACTCCATGGCCCTGGCAGTCGGGGACAGCATCCCAGGCTACGCTATAGAACTGGGACGTGTGGGCCCCCCCCAACAAGCGCTGACGTCACAGGGCCGGAGACGATGGTTGAAGGGGCGCCGAGGGCTCAGGTCTTCCCTACACTCCTGCTCAACCATTTCTGCCCTGACCTACGGTAGCCGACCCCGAAGCCCGCGACCCCAGCCAGAACGCTGGCTCCCAATGACGTCATTGCTGGAGGGGCTCAGGGACTTTCCTCCTCAGTCCCTCTCTGGGGTTCGCCCCTCCACTTGTCCCCTTCACCTCTCTCTAGCCCTGGCTCGGTCCCCACCACATGCCCCGGTACCTCCTCCCGCAGCGGCTCGCTGTCCGAAATGAGTGCTGCAGGCACCTCCCCGCAGTCGCCACCTTCGCCCTCCGGCATGGTGTCCTGGCTGCTCCGGCTGCCGGGCCCGGGCCCCAGGCATGATAAGCGGTGGGGCGCGGAGGGTTGCGGCGCTGCCCCGAGGGGCGTCCGCTCGGCTCGGTGGCCGCTGTGGAGTGCGCCCAACCCAGCCCGAGCACAGCCCGAGCGCGGCGGCGGCGTTGGCGGCCGAGGTGCCCGGCGCCCCGCCCTCCGCTGACCCCGCCCCCGCGGCACCGGCGGCGCCGCTGGCTGCGCCTGGCACCGCGGACGCCCCCCACCCCCCTCCACCGGCCTCTGGGAAGCCCGGGTCTGGACCACCGGACGACTGGCTTCCCTGGCTTTTCTGGCTGAACTCGCGCTTGCGACCTTGAGCGAGTCCTTGCTCTAGGGCGCCCGAGACTCCCCACCTGTGCAATGAGCTGGGTGATTCTGCAGGTGGGTGGGCGCCCGTGGGGTCCCTCTCGAGGGGATGGGTCCAGCGCTAAACCCACCCAGACTCCACCCCAGAAGTTTCGCTTGTTAATACCCAGAATTAGTCTCATTTGATGGCTCTGCTTATGGCTGGAGGGCTGACTGGAGCTAGGGCTTCAGGAACTCTAGGCTGCAGGACTTTTGACCATCATGTTCCCCCCCTAAACTCAGCTTTTCTGAGAAATGGAGATGAAAACGTGTTGGATTAAATTTACTAACCTTCTCTGGTCAGGCAGGGGGATATGTTTTCCCTGAATGGGACAGCCTTTTCCCATTTGTATAAGGCCCCAGGAATACTACTTAGTTCTTGGGGGGGGCGGAATGGGTTCCTCACACCCAGGCTTGGGTCTAGACCTTGCCCCCAAGCCAGATAATTAGTGGGTAGGACAGAAGACGCTATAACGCTAGGTGGGCTGTTCATTGTGTGTTTGAACAAAGGACAACTCCAGATTATTTCTTTGAACATTAAAAGATGATGTAACAGATATAAAGCAATGCTTTTGTCCATGTGTTTACTTTTTATTTTTGTTTTGTTTTTTGATACTTGGTTTCTCTGTGTAGCCCTGGCTGTCCTGGAACTTGCTTTGTAGACCAAGCTGGCCTCGAACTCAGAGATTTACCTCCCTTTGCCTCCTGAGTGCTAGGATTAAAGGCATGTGCCACCTGTTGAAATGTAAGAAAAGCGGCGTTCAAGAGAAAGATGCCATGTGACAAGGTTCAGGCAGAGGGTTTTTATTAGAGAAAGGGATCATAAAAAGGGGAAAGGGAAGAGGGGAGGGAGGAAGACCAGACCTGCCTCTAGGGACAGGAGGAACAGGAGAGAGGAAAGAGAGGTACAGGAAGGGAGGGGGAGGAAGGGAGGGAGCGAGGGAGAGAAATAGGCAGGGCCCTTGTAAAAGGGAAGATAGTGAATATGCACAGGTGGTGTTCTTTTTTTTAAATACTTTATTTAGCTTTTCATTTTATGTGCATTGGTGTAAGGATACCACTGAACTGGAGACAGGTGTGAGCTGCCACATGGGTGCTGGGAACAGAACCCAGGTCCTCTGGAAGAGCAGTCACTGCTCTTAACCACTGAGCCATCTCTCCAGCCCCCGCACAGGTAGTGTTCTTGGTTTTGTTTTTTTTTTTTTTCGAGACAGGGTTTCTCTGTGGCTTTGGAGGCTGTCCTGGAACTCCCTTGGTAGTCCAGGCTGGTCTCGAACTTACAGAGATCCGCCTGCCTCTGCCTCCCGAGTGCTAGGATTAAAGGCGTGCACCACCAACGCCCGGCTCAGGTGGTGTTCTTAATGGCTGCAGCTGAGGGTGTATCCTGTCAGAACTCCAAGGACAGGCCACTACAAATGCCTGAATCTAACACCATCATCAGCTGGTTTGTTTGTTTGTTTGTTTTTTGTTTTTGGAGACAGGGTTTCTCTGTATTGTTTTGGAAGGTGTCCTGGAAATCGATTTGTAGACCAGGCTGGCCTCGAACTCACAGAGATCCGCCTGCCTCTGCCTCCCAAGTGCTGGGATTAAAGGCATGTGCCACCAACGCCCGGCCATCACCTGATTTTTTAAAATTTATTTTGTGTTTACTTTTTAGATTATTTTATTTCGTCTGTATGGGTGTTTTGCCTGAATGTTTATTCATCACATGAATGCAGTGCCCATGGAGGCCAGAAGAGGGCGTTGGATCTCCTGGAACTGGAGTTATAGATGACTGTGAGCTGCCATGGCATGATGGGAATCCAGCCTGGGTGCTCGTAACTGCTGAGCCACCTCTCCAACTGTCCTCATTTGTTTACTTACTTATTGGGCACAGGTGTTGGCTGGCTATTTTTTAAATAATTTATTTAACGTTTTATTTTACATGCATTGGTGTGAAGGTATCAGATCCCTTGGAACTGGAGTTACAGAGAGTTGTAAGCTGCCATGTGGGTGCTGAGAATTGAACTCTGGTCCTCTGGAAGAACAGCCAGTGTTCTCAACCAGTGAGTTATCTCTCTACCCCCTGCTGGCTATCTTCTATGTGTAATTAGTGTGCCTGGGTACTAGGAAGACATAGATCGATGTGGAGAATGACACAGTCCCTGTCTGCGCCGCCCGTGCCACGAGCAACTCCAAGGTATCAGGAAAAGAAAGACCAGATGTCCAGCTGTTTGTACTAAGAAGTGTCTTTATTTTGCAAGTGCTAAGAGGTCTCTCTCTTGTAGGAGGGAGCAGACTTATATATAGTCTTACAACACAGTAGAAAAACCTCAGGTGGAAGAGAGCGTGTTTTCCTCGTGATGTCAGTGGGGCAATGCAGAGGCAGTAAGCCAGGACTAGAAAACAGGATGCACCTGTGGCTATCAGCTGACAAACAACTCAGAGACCCTGTGGGGGCTAAACCCCAACACCTGTCCTCATGGAAGCTATCCAGGGAAAAGTCTGGCTAACGAGGGGTTCAGAATCCAAACTCTGGTCTTCACTCTGGGCCAGGGTCAGGCCTTTGTTTCCTTTGTTCCTCTGTAAGACCTACCGTGACCACCCCATTTAAAATGTGCGTTTATTTTGAGTATCTCTCTCCGGGTGGGGTTATGTGAAGGGATGCCCTTTAAACATGATGCAAGTGTGCAAGTCAGAGGATAACGTTTGGGAGTTGGTTCTCTTCTTCCACTATGTGGGGCCTGGGAATTGAATTTAGGTCCTTGGGATTGGCGGCCTGCTGAACTATCTCACAAGCAGGCTAATGTGACTCTTAAAGGCTCTGGATGAATTGATAGGAAGGGAAAGGGCAGACCAGGTGGAGGAGCAAAGGCAGCAGTTGGACTCTCATGGGCTGAGTTTGGGGAGTAGGAAGGTCTTACTTTATGTAACTGAACACTAAGTAATCAACTCCAAGTATCAGAGGGTGTGTCATGCTCTGTGGAGAACAGTGTCCGTGAGAGATGGACTCTTGAGGACTCCTATGAGGGCGGGAGTGGTTACAACCTGGGTGGGAAGAAGAGTCTGTGAGACTAGGAGCGAGGCTTAAAGGCCTCACTTTGAAATTACAAGACTGGTGATGACTAAGGAGCTTCGAATTCACCTTCAGGAGACAGATCAGCACACTTCTGCCTCCCAAATCCACCAGACCACTGGAGAAAGCAATGACCCAGTGTAGACTTCTGTCCCAAGTATACCACCAGATCTCCAGAATTTTGGATCTTCTGGGTCTCGGTTGTTGTTCCCTAACCCGTGCGTGCGTGTATGTATGTGTGTGTAAATGCGCGCGCGCACATAATGTATTGAGCGCGTTCTCCAAGCCACCCAACAGAGACTCTCACAGATAGATGAGGGCATTTTCAGCACCGGCTGACGGACAGCACCTACTCTGAAAGAAGTAGGAGGCTGAAGGAGAAGTCAGCATTTTAGGGCTCTGGACGGCGCTGTCACTCGCTTAGTGCGGGCAACAACACCACATTCTAGCCGGCCGGGGCTCCGCTACAGGACTGAATGAATTGGAGGAAAGAGAACACAAGACGGAGGGCAGGAATCGGTCGGAGGTTGACCGACCGCCACATTCCTCCTGGCCTTCGTAGCGGCGGAGCCAGCACTGTGCGCAGTGTCGTCCTAACCGCGTAGTCGTGGCAAGGAACGTCAGGCGCCCCTCGGCGCAGACGCGGAACTAAGGTACAAATCCTTCCCACCTATTGGCTGGTCGAGCCGCGAATTAGCAAGCCTCCTACTCAATCGGAGAATGTCTTGAATAGCTACGCCCCCTATCTATCGGAAGTTGACTATGGCCAAGTCCGATTGGGCGAAGGCTCGCCAGTAGCCAATTGGAAGTGTACAGGGGCAGAACCGACTCCTCCGAAAAGCCAATGGTAGACAGTGGAGTGTGACGCCACGGATATGGCGGCCGGGATCGGCCAGCCCTGGGACGTGTCGGGCTCTCGGGCAACTTCGGTCAGTGTTGAGCGAGAGAAGCAACTGTTTCAGTAGTGTTTGTACGCACGACTCAGAGCAGCCAGCCCTTAGGTAGAGCGAGCGTCGTGGCCATGGCTTACCACTCGGGATACGGAGCCCACGGTGCGTGAGTAGTGGGGAGGGCGGGGCGCGGCCGGGCAGCAGGGCCCCAAATCCCCTGCGAGACCCACTCGCCCGGAGGGAGAGGGTCTGCGGTGACTGCTGCCTAGGGCGGGGAGTGTCTCTCGGGTTCCTGCCCTGCCACACTACAGCGTGTCCTGGACTTCGCCCTTGCTGGCCAGTCCTGAGATAAGGCTGCGATAGCACAACTGGAATCCCCAAATCTGATCCTGTATGAACCGGCTTCACTTTTCTCTGTTATAACTCTGACAGCATTCCTGACCACTGTCTAGGGACTCCGAGTAGTCAGTGTTGGCTTTTCTACCCGTGTTAAGGGATGTCTTTCCAGTGATCGCACTCAAGCAAACATCTGCTTGAATATAAACTCTAGTATTCAGGGATCATCTCCCTTCTTCAGAGACGTCCCAGAAATCCCAAGTGGGCAGCCACTTGTAGGCACCCTTTCTTTTTTTTTTTTTTTTTTTTTTTTTGGTTTTTCGAGACAGGGTTTCTCTGTGGCTTTGGAGGCTGTCCTGGAACTCACTTTGTAGACCAGGCTGGCCTCGAACTCACAGAGATCCGCCTGCCTCTGCCTCCCGAGTGCTGGGATTAAAGGCGTGCGCCACCAACGCCCGGCCACCCTTTCTTCTTGTAGTAAAGGATTGCTCCAAAAGGAGAGCTTTCTTCAAACGCATCCTGACCTTTCCTCAACAATTGTCCGGTGTTGCAGGACCATGCACAGCTTCTCAGGCTAGGGGAAGGGGCCATGGCTTGGGTTCTTAGTCTGTATTTCTGTTATCTAGTTTGGTACCTCCACACTTGTAGGTTCCAAGCACAGGACCCGGGCAGCTCCAGATTCTCCTCCTCTCTTTGATGATACAAGTGGTGGCTATTCCAGCCAACCAGGCGGATACCCAGCCCCAGGAGCTGATGTAGCCTTCAGTGTCAACCACCTGCTTGGAGACCCAGTGGCTAATATGGCTATGGCCTATGGCAGCTCCATAGCATCCCAAGGGAAGGACATAGTGCACAAAGAGGTGTGTGGCCTGTGCTCAGGGAAAAGGGTGACAGCGTTTCTGTCTGCTTGATTCCCCAAGCAGCCTTTAGGAAGAAACACACCCAAGTCTCTTTTCTCCACTTCCAGCTGCACCGCTTTGTCTCTGTGAATAAACTCAAGTATTTTTTTGCTGTGGACACAGCCTATGTAGCCAAGAAGCTAGGACTTTTGGTCTTTCCCTACACACATCAGGTGAGCTTCCTACCAGGTGAGCTGGCAAGCCTCTCCCCACTCTCGGATAACCTGGACCTCAGATTTCAACCCCTTTATTCTCTTTTTCTCCTCTGCTCCTAATTACACGACCCCTGCCACTGCTAGGACTGGAAAATGCAATACAGTCATGATGTGCCTCTACCCCCACGGAACGACCTCAATGCTCCTGACCTCTATATCCCCAGTGAGTCTCTGATGTGGGCTTGGGGATACAGGGGTACTTATGCCTTGAAGCATCGTTAAGAAGTAGACTCAACTAATGACCCAGCATCCATTCCTGATGCTTTCCATGTGTGACTGTTGCTAGACACCAGGTTGACAGGGTAACCAGTAGGAAACTTCCTGAATGTGACCCTGATGTTTCCATAACACCTTCCTGCCTTTTAATTTGGACCCTGTCTCTCTCCAGCCTGGAGTGCTAGGTTTTTTACTTGGCCTAGCAGCTTCCAGCTGTAGGACTTTAGGCTGGTTCTTTCAGCTTTTAGTAAAGCAAGACTAACAATGGCTTCAACCTCAGAGAATTGTTGTGGAGAGCCGGGGAGATGCTATGTGCTCTGTTTCCCACCTGGCCCGAGCGGAACACACCACACAATAAATGCTAGCTGCTGTTGGGATACTCAGGGAGGGAAGTATAGGAGAAGCTGGAATGTCAGTGGATTTGAAATGTCTAATGAGGGGCTCTGGGTGAGGAAGCCAGTCTAACTACTTCCTTTCCTCTCGGCAGCCATGGCCTTCATCACATATGTGCTGCTGGCTGGGACGGCACTGGGCATTCAGAAAAGGTTAGTGCTAACCGCCCCCCCCCTTTCTGGCTTATCTCTCTTCCTCTATAGGGAATCTGTGTCAGGTCCTGTGCCAAGTCCCAGCTCACCCAGTGCTACCCTTAGCCTTCACCCCACACCTGCTACAGGATGGCTCATTTTGACCTACCTTCTCCCATGACTGCAGGTTCTCCCCAGAGGTGTTGGGCCTGTGTGCGAGCACAGCACTGGTGTGGATGGTAATGGAGGTGCTGGCCCTGCTTCTGGGCCTCTACCTGGCCACCGTACGCAGTGAGCTGAGTACCTTCCACCTCTTGGCCTACAGCGGTTACAAATATGTGGGGTGAGTTTCTGTGGTCTGAGAGTAGCTTGAAGGGTCTATGGCCCCAGCTTTTGAGCCTGTGTAGCTGCAGCCTTCATTGTGAAGCTAGAGATGCTTGTGTCCCATCTCAACCCCAGCTCTACTCCAAAGGTCTCCTCCTGGAGCTAGTGACTTGAAAGAGGTTGAGGATTCATGAGTTATCTTGGGGAGCCCAGAGAAGAGATTTCAGGTCCTGGGGCCGAATCCTGATCCATTTGGAGTCTGGTTCCTTGTAGGAACAGCCTGGTGTCGTGGGTCATGGTGTTGGGCGGCTCTAGGCCGTGGTGGACAGGGCCGGTCTCAGGCTTGGGTCTTGGGCATCACCAGTGCATTCCTGCACCCCCAGGATGATCCTCAGTGTGATCACAGGGCTGCTCTTCGGCAGTGATGGCTACTACGTGGCGCTGGCCTGGACATCATCCGCGCTTATGTACTTCATTGTGAGTGTGGGGTGGTCCCTCCCCGCTCCTCTGCTGGGTCAGCTCTGGGATACATTTATCCTCCTGGCCCAGCCTCAACACTCCTCTCTTCTAGGTGCGTTCTTTGCGGACTGCAGCCTTGGGCCCTGACAGCATGGGGGGCCCAGCCCCTCGGCAGCGTCTCCAGCTCTACCTGACCCTGGGAGCAGCTGCCTTCCAGCCCCTCATCATATACTGGCTGACCTTCCACCTGGTCCGGTGATACCTGGTCCCAGGTGGCACTGATTTTTCCATACATTGAAGATTTGGTTTCCTTGACTTGGCTTGACCCTGGTTCCTGGGGCCCAGGGGAAGCCATGAACACCTCTGGGCCTCTGCTTTGTCCAGGAGCCTCAGCTTGGGGCTGTTTAGGAGAAGGGAAGGTAGGTCCAGGGAGAGCCCCCTGGAGGTGACTTTTATACAGCCTTGAAAAACATCTGGAAGGGTCACATCAGACACAGCTGGAAAGGGAGGGCAGAAGAGTGGCTGCCAATGAGACTTCCAAGGCCTCAGACACATCTGAGAAGAGCCTGGAGCTAGCAGGGTGAGACTGGGTGTCCTGGGGATTTAGATCCAGGTCTCCCCCTCCAGATGACCCCACCTAACCCATCTATTCAAGCCTTCCAGGAGAAGAACCGGGGCTTGTGTGTTTTCAGTAGTTTATTCATCTTTTGTCACAAATGGCCGGGGAGGGGGTGCCGGACTCCTCCAGGCAACATAGAAAATAGGACCAGGGGACAGGGTGGGCTGGGTTTGGGGTAAGTAGAGACTGGGTTGGAAAGAGAGCCTGGGGAGGGGAGAGGGCAGACTAGGGATGGGGCTGCCCCCATATTGAGCCTGCTTGTTCCTGGTGCAGGTGCCCCCCACCTGCAGGGGGAGCTTCAGGGTGAGGGCCAAGGGGGGCTGCCCAGAATTTCCAAGATCAAGGTCTGCCTGGTGGCAGGGCCCAAGTTCCCCTGAAACGGACAAGACTGGAAGTCCTGCCCCTTCCGGGGCAACTGCCATGCCCAGTTGCAGGCTAGCAGAGGAGCCCCCACCCCTGTTTAGAGCTCTGCCTGGCCCTAGTTGGAGGGGGAGAGCTCTGAAGGCGGGGGTCCCCGCAGCAGCAGTTGGGGGGGGGTGGAGAGGCTGGAGGCACCAGTGCCCCCTGTCTCCCCAGGGCTGAGGACTCTGTGGCCAGAAGGGCAGGGCTAGGGGTGCACAGGCGTCCGGTCCATTCTGGGCTTGCTCCCTGGCCGGCTTTCCCCTTAGAAGCTCACCAACGTATAAACCATACTGTGGGGGAGATGAAACTGAACATGTGTCCTGAGAAAGCCTCCTACCCTCCCAGTCATGCCCTGCCTTGTCTATGGTCCTCAAGGGCAAAAAGAGATAGTGGGGACTGAGAGCCTGAAGTCTGGGATACCACCTGCCTAGTTTCTAACTGCTGTGGCCAAAGCCTCACCTGTACAGGTAATAGAAGAAGGAGAGCAGGTAGAAGGCGAGTTTGCACCAGGACTCCTTCTGGCAGTAGTTGAGGATGTCAGCATTCATGATAGAGACCGCATCATACATGACCTCAGAGCCATCCGCAGGACGGTGGAAGTACCTGGGGCGAGGGAGTCCCCCTCTAGCCACCCAGGTCTGCTGCTCAGCCTGCCCTGCTCCCAGCCTCCCCCTCCCCAGGGAGCTGCTGCCCTCACCTCCAGAGGTGGTAGAAGAGGAGGGGGATGTTGAGGCCCAGGGTCACCCACTCGGCTGCACACAGAAACATCAGACAGAAGAGGCCGTGGATAGAATATTCCGGGACCACCAGCTGGGGGAGTGAGGGTTGAGAGGTCAAAGGACTGCTGCCCAGGACCAACCCAAGCTTCAATGGCACAGAGGGGTAATTGAGGTTTAGGAAATGCCAACCCACCATCATCTCACAACTAAAAGGCCTCTGATTGCCATTCCGACCCTCTTAGGCGGCAAAGCGGATCAAACAGGACTCGCTGCCCGAAACAGAGAGTGGGGGCAGCACTAGCTAGGGGCTTCCTGACCCCTGCCCTGACACTGACCTTCCTCAGGAGGCAGCAGATGCGTTCGATGTTTTTCAAACGCTCGCGCTGTAGGGAAGGAAAGGGCCTAGATAAGGAAGGCCGAGGAGCAGACACGAGGGTGCCTCCCATGCCCCACGTGTGGTCGCCAGATGGCGCCAGAGCACTCTGCGGTGTCTTCCTCTCAGGAAAGCAGCCGTGTCCCCATGGCGACTGTCACCATGGAGGGGCCTGCACCCGCATCTCCATGGCAACGGCCCGGCGCCTGGAAAAGGCTGCCCCACCAGGAGGATCCCGAGCCCTGAAGCCGGCTCCAGGTGTTTGCGAGGGCGGGAACAGGGGAAAGGGCTGGGACACCTCACCGGCCCTCCACATCGTACCCCCATCTTCCCAACCCCCATCCCCACCTTCCACCCATGACAGAAAGACAAACGGACGGACACACCTCAGCACAGCACATGTATCACTTACTGCCCGCGCTGGGTTCCCCTGGTCGATGGGGTTCTTGAAGTCAGTCCGCAGCTCATCAAAGGCTATGATCTGGGGGTAGGGGCATGTGCCTGTCAAGGTTGGGGCAGGCCCACCAACACCCAGGTTAGCCTAGACCCCAGTGGCTCAGAGGAAAAGAACATGGGCTTCTTGGAAGGAGATGGATGGTGACATACACCACGCGTGCCTGAACTTCAATGGATAGGGATTTACACTTGGGGACCCTGACATATAGAGCTTATTGCAAAGTGAAGAAGCAGATGGACAAGTCTTGGCCCAAGCTCACACAGCAGTCAGCAATGGAATCCTAATGTCCACTGTACTCCCCATACATTTCAAGACTTGGCGGCTCCTCTCCCAGGCCTCATGCTGAGCACAGGAACCCTGGAGGGTTGGAACACAGTGCTTGTCCAGGAGGCACCCCAGGGGGTTGGGGAGAGAACTCTTGATCAGCGAGTGCTGAGGGGCAGACCGGGACTCCATATGGGTTGGTGGGTTCAAGCTGAGTAAGCATCTGGTGAGCAAATGGGAGAGATGCAGTCCAAGCAGTGGGAATAACATAAAAAGGGAGCAAATGGGAGAGATGCAGTCCAAGCAGTGGGAATAACATAAAAAGGGAGCAAATGGGAGAGATGCAGTCCAAGCAGTGGGAATAACATAAAAAGGGAGCAAATGGGAGAGATGCAGTCCAAGCAGTGGGAATAACATAAAAAGGGAGCAAATGGGAGAGATGCAGTCCAAGCAGTGGGAATAACATAAAAAGGGAGCAAATGGGAGAGATGCAGTCCAAGCAGTGGGAATAACATAAAAAGGCACAGAAGGCTGAAAGAACATTCGGGGGCTCCTGGGGCCGGGCTGTGTGAGAACGGGAAGAAAGCAGGGAAGGATGCCAGGCAGATGGGAAAGTCAACAGAGCCGGTCCCCGCAAGGCCAGCCAAGACTAGGTTTAACACAGGAGTAGGAGGAGTCCTAGAGGATTATAGAGTAACGTGGGGCAATCAGACTTAGGGTTAGGATTGGTGGGGATACAAGCTGGTCAACAGATTCAGCCAAGATAACCACCCAGCAGGCTCTGTCAGCCGCCACTGAACGCTTGGAACAACCTAATGACTTAACTGCTAGTAGTATTTTCATTTCTGACTTGCAGAGGAGAATAGAGGTTAGGTATCCTGTGCAAGGCCACACAGCTACTGAATGGTAAACTTGTAATCCAATTAAAATCACTGCCTACTTTGTCATACTCAGATCACTGAAGGGCCTGTTCAAGTCCAGGGAGGGGCTCATGGTGGTCTAAGTGAGAGGGTGGTGGCCTTGGAAATGGAGTGGTGTAGATGCATCCCAGTACTCTCTAGTAGCCAGCTCCAAAGGGCCTGTGTGGTAGCGGAGTGGAGGTTGAAGGCCCCACGTGTCCAGGGATAGCAGTGTACCCAGAAGTGGGAAACTCTTGAGGTAGCAGACATTTGAGGAGATTGAGGACCTGCTGGTGACCTGGGGGAGGCAGACTGGCAGGGAAACCTGACAGGGGGAAGGGAAGTCCCCTCCCTTCCCCTCTAGCCCCAGAATGAGGCAGCAGGCCCACCACCCCCAAACATCCTAGACCCCATACGGTTCAAGAGGAAAAGAACATGGGCTTCCTGGAGGGAGCTGGAGCCATCTGGAGCCCCTCCCCCCAATTCCTCTGACTCTGGGCAGCTGCCTGCCTGATAGGCACAGCAACAGGGTCCAGCAGGGGCGGAAGGGTGCCGGCTGTCTGCCCCCGAGCTGGCACCAACAGCAGGCAGCGGGTGTCAAGCCTCCCACCCCCCAGGCTGCTTGGCGCTGACTCAGCATCTCCCTCACCCCGGAACAAACAATTCTCCACTGTGACAGCTGACACACGTCACTCACCAGGGTTGCCTGGTGACTAGTAGGACCTGGGGTCCTGGCTCAGAAGGTTCTACTTAACAACTTTGGATTGAGACCCACATCTCCTCTCCCAGACATCATGTCTACAAGCCCATTTTCCTGATGAGGAAATTGCTCCAGCTAGCTAAAATGACCCAGCTAAAAGGCTGAAGAAGCACGGTGGCTCATAATAGTAGGGGTTGCAGAATGGTCTGTTGAGAGTACAAAGGTGCTGCTCCAAACCTTAGTAGACTTCATCTCAGCCCAGGCCTTCTGCAAGGGCAAAGTCTAGGTCTTATGGAGCCCGACTCCCTTGCAGCTGCTATGCAGGCTGCGCTGAGAATCTCCTGAGAAGAGGGGTCCTATCAAAGAAAGAGGGGGTGTGAGTGGGAGGTGGGCTTCTTGAATTTCAGGAGCCAGTTGCCTCCTGTGTGTCTCTTTCTGGTTCTTAGGACCCAAGCTCTCCTGCCCCAAAAGGACTGTCCTAGGCCCTGAGCCCGAGACAGGAAGCTCAGAAAGATCATACTGGATCTGAGGTGACAGAAGAAGAGAAAAACAGAGCAGAGACCAAGAAAAAGCAAAAGGCAACTAGGAGACTCAGATCAGGACGAGCAAAGTGAGGGGTAGGACTAGAGACAGGCACGGGCTTGGACATACTCTGGGCTTAGGATCTTCATAAGAAGTGGGGCATAGCATTTGAAAGAGAAAGGAGGAGACAGGACAAAAGGAGAGATGGGGATATTTCCCAGAGAAAGTAACTACCGGGGAGCATGCAGCAAGTACCAGGAAGAGACAGGAAGTGGGAGAGCAGGGAAGAGGCAGGGAAAGTGAGGAGGAAGGGAGGCAGGCTGGTTGTGTGCAGTCAGGTAAGAGGACCCTAACAGGATG